TCAAGGCTAGCACTCTACCACTTGAGCCACAGTGCGACTTCCAGCGTTTCTTGCTTATGTGGTGCTGAGGAATCGAACCCAGGGCCTCATGCATGCAAGGCAAGCGCTCTACCACTGAGCCACCTTCCCAGCCGGGCTTTGTTTTTTAACCATCCCCAACCATGACTTTTGGGATCACTCCTGTCTATCATAGCAGCCATGACTAAGAGTTTATTTACCCAGGCTCTCAAGCAATATGCTATCTGCCCCAGCCTCAGGAGGTTAGTGGGCATTTTTTTGGGGGGGGAGGGGCTGATATTGGAATTCAAGGGCCTCGAGTTCTCAGCTTGCTTGCTGAGGATTGGTGCTCTGTCACTTGGAGCCATATCTTCAGCCTACCACCAGTCTAGCATTTTGCTAGTTTATTGGATGGAGTCTCGCAGACTTTTCTGCTTGGGTTGGCGTTGAACATCATTCTCACAGGTGTCAGAAGTCAGCTATCGGCGCCCGGCTCTGCACTTGTCTAATGTCTTTTTTGTTTGTTTGTTTGTTTGGTCATGGGGCTTGAATTGAACTGTGGGCCTGGGAGCTGACCCTCAGCTCAAGACTGACACTCTAGCGCTTGAGCCACAGTGCTACTTCCGGTTTTCTGGTGGTTCATTGGAGCTAAGAGTCTCATGGACTTTCATTTCTGGGCTGGCTTTGAACCACAGTTCTCAGATCTCAGCCTCCTGAGTAGCTAGGATTACAGTTGTGAGAGCCACCGGCACCTGGCTTCTGTCTTGTGACATCCTTTCTAAACTTTCTCATTATCCCATCTTTCTGCCATGTTTCCTTTCCCTTTCAGCAAGCCCTCCGGACCTTGCTGGTGACAGAATGACTTGCCCAGGCCGTCATTACAGAATGTTGAATTCTTTGTGCCCGGAGCCAATCAGCAGTGAGACAGGAAGCTGGCGGTCGGGAGGCGGCTGGTTACCTTGAGACGCGTTACGTCACATCCGCCAGAAACCCGTCTCAACGGCCAGCGTTCAGAGGGCCGCTGTTTGAGGGCGGGATCTGGACGCGAAGGCGGAGTTTCTGTGGGGCGGAGAGAGGCGGAGTGAGGCGGAGTTTGGGGCAGGGAGGGACTTTAGGGCGGGGCGGAGCCCGAGAGGGCCGCCTCGCGGGCTTGTGCCGGCTCGGCCGGCGCCGGTGCCGAGCTCCGCGGCAGCGGAGGCAGGTGAGAGCCTTCGGCCGGGAAGGGGCGGGCGGGGGGGTGGCTTCTGGCCCCGTCCCCCCTCCACGGTCGTTCATTTGGACATCCCGGCTTGGCCAGACCCAGCTGGGAAGGGCCGAAGTGTGTTCTTTAGGCCTGGCTGGCCCTGGAATGACGTGAGAGCTCCCTTGACCGAGATCATTCGGTCAGGTTGAGCGACCTTCTTTAAGTCCCACCCCACTTTGTGCTCGGGCTCTGCTAATGCCCCACCCCACAACTTCCACACTCCCAAGAGGAGTCCCAGTTAACACTGTCAGTTACCCTCCTCCCCGAAAACTGCACTTCTGTAGAAAACGCATCCATCAAGCCCAGTTTGCCTTCCCTGTCCTGGGACTGCATCTGCTCAAAGTCTTTCAGCCCCTCAAGCAGAATCCGTGTCAGATTAGTAGCAAACTCCTCCCCTAGTGACCCCAGGCTTCCAGGCTGCAGGAGGAATAGGGCGTGGGGTGGATGGCTGTTAGCCTCTCCCTAAACTCCTTACCACCACCCTGCTGCTCCTCTCCACTTGACTTCTACTCCACTCTGGCTTTCCTGCCCACCCCCCCCCATCCAGTGAAAATCAAAGACTGCACCAAGACCCTCAGCTGTCAAGGACCATGCTATCCTGTCATGCTGTGGTGGGAATGGGAGGCTTTCACAGAGAGGAGTGTTTTCATGAATCTGCCCTCCGTTCCCAATTTTCCCTCTCCCCAGTCTCAGATGAAGGAGTCAGGACAAACAGGGATTTGGATCCAGAGAGGCAGGGTCTCTGCAACACTGCAGGGCTGGAAGCAACAGACAGCAGTGATGAAAAACTGTGCCCTTGCCCTGCTTGCCCCGCTTCTACCAGAGGACATGATGGGTGGTGGTTGCCCAGTTGGAAAGTAGAAAGAGACATACCCTCCTCCTTTCGCCACAAGCACCCCACCCCCTAAACACGCAAGTTCCACAGGGAGTTCAGGACCCTAACAGGAGCACATTTCCAGGAAGGCTCTGGATGCTGAGCACAGCCCCTTAGATGTGATGCAGCAGCTCTAGGAGCTCAGATTCCAAGACTGCCACAGAAGTGGGAGCTGACAAGGAGAAATCCCCCTGTGGACGTCTGACCCCCGTTGTGCTGCCCCATAGGCAACATCCCTAGGGAGAAAGGGACCTGCTTCTTCATAGCCCCTGCCCTACCCGTGTCTTCTCACGGCAGGGTGGGCCATATAGACACAGAAGTAGTGTTCCCTACCGTGTGTCCATGGCAGACATTATTCCCTAGAGCTATGCTCACCTACTGCCCTTGCCACTCTGCCACCACTTTATGCCTGACAAATGACATAGATTCCCCAGTCTGTACTCTTATGACCTTCTGGATCTGGCACCAGCCAGGGGGAAACAGGGTAGTGGTGACAAAACTAGAGGTGGATCTCCTGAGTCCCTGGTATCAGAACATCTCAACAAGCCACTGTGGGGCAAGTGCAGGGAAAGGAGTAGGAATCGGCAGGATGTGGGTGGTTCCGGTGGGTGGGGGGTGAGATGCCTGAGGCACTTGTGCTGGGAAGGGACCAGCGCTGAGGTTGCATTTCCACTCCTGAGCTTTGGTGAGGCTCTGCTGAGCCAGCAGTGGGCTTCCAGATATCCAAGCTCCTGAACTCACACCTGGGCACCAGCTACCTGTCTATGCCCCTTCTGTTTTCAGGGAGAAACCTGCCATCAAGGAAGGCAGCACAAGACCAGGACTTGTCGATGGACCATTCTCAGGATAACCCAACAGCACCAGCAGGGGTTCCCTTCTAACTAAGCCCAAGAGGTGAAGAGGTCCCGAGCACAGTTTTCTTCAGGAAGAGCCATGGTGTTGAGGAGGGGCAGAGGCAGCTGCCAGTGGTGGTGTGGGCCCCTAGTCATGTTCACAGCTGCCTTGCTGCTCATCAGCCAGCCATGGGGGGCCAAATCCATGGCCATGGCCAGCCTTGGCACCGCCCTAGGCCCCACTGGATCACTGGTGAAGGGCCACTACTTGAGCATTGGGGATGGTTCTGTGATGGAGTTTGACTTTCCTGAGAAGAGTGAGGGTATTATTGTGATCTCAAGCCAGTACCCAGCACAGGCCAATAGGACAGGGCTCAAACCCACACTGAGAGTAACATCTCTCGACCCAGAAGTGCTGTCCATCAAGAACGTAAGTGCCATAACATGGGGCAGAGGAGGTGGCTTCGTGGTGAGTATCCACTCAGGCCTAGCTGGGCTAGCCCCACTCCACATCCAGCTTCTGGACTTCCACAAGGCCGCACCTATGCTGGTGGAGGAGCGGAGAGATTTCTGCATCAGAGTCTCACCCGCTGAAGACACCCATGCCACCCTCAGCACCAACTTGGCCCACTTCTCAGAGAATCCAATACTCTACCTGCTTCTGCCTCTTATCTTTGTCAACAAGTGTTCATTTGGATGCAAAGTGGAACTTGAGGTTCTGAAGGGTCTCCTGCATAGCCCGCAGCCCATGCTTCTGGGCCTTTTGGGCCAATTTCTGGTCATGCCTTTTTATGCTTTCCTGATGGCCAAAGTCTTCATGCTGCCCAAGGCCTTGGCTCTCGGCCTCATCATTACCTGCTCGTCGCCTGGTGGTGGAGGAAGCTACCTCTTCAGCCTGCTTCTTGGAGGAGATGTGACGCTGGCCATCTCTATGACTTTCATCTCAACAGTAGCGGCCACTGGCTTCCTGCCATTATCCTCCATCATCTACAGCCACCTGCTCAGCGTCCACGAAACACTGCACGTGCCCATCTCCAAGATCCTGGGAACCCTGCTGTTCATCTCCATCCCCATAGCAGCAGGTGTGGTCATCAAGTTCAAGCTCCCCAGGTTCTCGCAGCTGCTGGTACTGGTCATCAAGCCCTTCAGCTTTGTGCTCATCCTAGGCGGCCTCATCTTGGCCTACCGCATGGGGGTCTTCATCCTGGCAGGTGTCCGGCTACCCATTGTACTGGTAGGCTTCACGGTGCCCCTCGTTGGCCTGTTGGTGGGCTACTGCCTAGCCACGTGCCTGAAGCTGCCAGTGGCCCAGAGACGGACTGTGAGCATCGAGGTGGGGGTGCAGAACAGCTTGTTAGCCTTGGCCATGCTGCAGCTGTCTCTCCGCAGCCTTCAAGCAGACTATGCCTCCCAGGCCCCATTCGTTGTGGCACTAACTGGGACCTCCGAGATGCTGGCTTTGGTCGTCGGCCACTTCATCTACAGAAGCCTGTTCGGGGTCTCATGAAACCCCTGGGTCAAGCTTCCTTCACCTTGGCCTCTCGGGTCACCACTGCCGCTGCAATTCCTGTATACCAAAGGCCTTTCGTTCTCATGCACTATGCATTCAAACAAATTCAGGCTTATTGGGTTTTTTTACTGTTATTTTTTTTATTCTCCAGCTTCCAGTGCCAAAGAGGCTATGCTAAGTTTAGGTGTGTGCACTGCCCAGAAAGTATATTTCAATAAAACAGAAAAGCAAGCCCGGGTCCCTTTCAGTCTTTGACCCTTGGGGCCTCGCGATTGGGGGAAGAGCATGCGTGGGAAGTGTGGGCAGCTGTGGGCCGGATGGGTGATGGGCTGAAGTGGCACGTTGACCCCTCCACACGCTTTTTGTGTCGCCCCTGTCAGGTGCTGGAGATGAAACCCACGCACGTGGTGGACAAGTGCTGGCTGGCTGCCTCCCCATCCCTGCACGAGTCATGGCTCATCTGTCCCTTCCCCACGCATCCCTCCCCACCGGGTGGAAACCCAGTAGTTTGGTTTGGTTTCTGCTCCCTTTTCGTGTTTTGTTTTTCCAGGCAGACGAGAAAGAAGGGAGCGGAAAGGCATCAGGCTGTGGGACGAGTGTGGCAGGCTGAGCGATTGCTGTGAATGCGAGACAATCGGGGCCTGGGGGGCGGGGGGCTCGGCACTGGCGTGCCCTACCCGCGCTGGCAGGGCGGGCCAGGCCGAAGCCGGTCCCAGGCAGCGTCCTGGCTTTTATTCTCCCGACTGCAGGCTCCCCGATGAATCAAGCATCGCCCCACATGCCCCCTGCCCTGTGCGGGCAGCCAGGAGAAGCCACGTTCCCCTGCCGCTGCTGAGCGCGGCGCGCAGTCCGGCGATGCCCCCGCCCCCGCCCCGCAAGGGCGGTCCCAGAGGCAGCGACTGGGGCCGGGGCGCGGAGCAGG